ACAGCTGGGGACCATACAGGGGCTTCAATGAAGTGGTTGGATGAAATTAGGAGGATAAAGGTTTCTTTCTGAGAGTTAGACTTTAAATTCAATACAGAATAGATCAGAGTAGAGGCATGAAAAGTAACCTACTATTAGCAGAATAGCTCTTAGTTCTGATAACTCAATAAGGAATGGGTGGTACTCTTTCAAGGTAAAGTAAGTATAACATCAAGCATAAAGTATAGCATCAAACGATTTAAAGAGGTCAAGGCTAGTAAAGATAGAGAGTGTGCATTGGTGTTGGAAGTGTGGTGCTCATGGTGAGCTTAGAAAGAGCAGTTTCAATGCAATCATAGAGACAGACCCATCTACAGTGAGTTGAGGAACATCTAGGAAAAAAAATGAAGAATAGAGACTGAGCATGGACTTCTCTTTAGTAAGGAGGAGGAGAGAGAGGTAGATGGCAGGGTTTGCAGAGTCTGAGGAAGTGTGTGTGTGTGTGTGTGTGTGTGTGTGTGTGTGTGTGTGTGTGTAATGATTGAAGAGATTCTAGCATGTTTATAAACCAAAGAAAAAGGGCTGGAGGATGGTGATCCAGGTGCAAAAGACAAGCCTGAGGGAGCCAGAACCTTGAAGAGGCTGGAAGGAATGGGATCCGAGGAGGTACCTTATTGATGTTGTGAGCAATGGTACCATCACTAAAATGAAGGCCAAAGTGACTAAGTTGAGGTCTATTTTTAAAAAATATCAATCATGTCACTAGACAGTCACATCTTCTACTGTGATATTTCTTCACCTTTCATGGAAATGTACGATTGGTTTTCTGAGCTTTATGGGTTATTTAATAACTTTAAATGAGAAAAAACTATTTGGCTGTTAAAATTGAATATTCATTTACTTATTTGATGATTAGAGATGGGCAAATGAGTAGATAAGAGACAAATCAAGGTGATGAGTTATTTTATTTATGGAATTAATTTCAATATGAAATGCAAACACATCTTGATAATTTTCTGCCCTTGCATTATGATAAAAGGGAAAAGTGGTCATGGGTGAACATTCCTGAGGTAATATGGTTCATTTGAAAGACAAGGATTCTTCGAACTCTCATTCATTCAACAAATAGTAATGGAGCATTCACTACGTCCCAGGCACTGTTAGGCATTGCAGATGTGGCTGCGAAGAAGACATCCTCAGTCCTTGTTCTGATGTTTCTCACGGTTTGGGAGCAGCTGTGAGAAAGCAAACAGGCATTATAGTAATGTGACAAGTTCTAGGATGGGGGACCCGGTACAAACTCTGGTGCTTACGAGACAAGAAATAATAAACATTACACTTTTGATGTAACAAACTTTCCATTTCCCACCCTCACCCCAGGCCTCTGCACACACAAATCAAAACCCTCTTAAGTCATGGAATAAAAAATGAAGAAGAAAAAAAGAAAGCAAACAAAAAGCGCTTCCTGTGGAGAGAATGGAAATTTTTAACTAGTTTATTTTCCAGGTACATGAAAAACAGTTCTGAATATTTAAGACCACAAGTAATAGTATTCTTAACTGAGATTTTTGAGAAGGCAAGGCTTGGGAAGGAGCACATGTAGGGGACTTTGACATAAAACACCGTTTACCCTACCAGGAGAGTCACCAGCAGAGATAAAGAAAGGAGGAGGCTGTCTCGGCAGAGCCCATTTCATAGTGATGGAAGAGACATCTTCTCTGTGACAGTATTGGGGGACCTGATCATGCCGCTCAGCATTGGACAGATCATTTGTGCAGCAAATCAGCAGAGTAACCATTATTCTTTCAGAGGGAGAGAAGAAATCTAGGGTGATTAGAGGGGGGAGCGGGGAGAGAAAGGGGGATGAGGAGGGATTGGACAAGAGGCATAAAGAATAATTACAATTTGTAACAATATATATGCTAGTAATATTGATTTGATCCACATATGTCAATGTTGAAACCCCAAAATATGTATAATCAATTTTGATTCAATAAAAATTAAAATTAAAAAAAAAGAAAAAAGAAAACTAAAAAACAACAACACCCCCCCTCCCCCCACCAAAACACCGTTTACCGAGAAGCAAGCCCTGCTCTACTTTAAGTTAATCAGTTACCACCAAATGTTCTACAAACTTGAGAAGTGTAATGGCTGGGAAAAAGCAGATTCCTATCAAATAAAAACATACATATCCAGTTGAACTATAGCTGAATTCAGCCATAACGTGTGCAACTTTCCTTCTCTTGAGGAAGAGGCATTGCACCTAAGTTTTAGCTAGAAAAATTTTTTAAATTAGAACATTTTGTAACTTCCTCTAAGGGTCTAAGTACCCTTCCTCCATCAGAATATGAGACCAAAAGAGTAACATTACTGGTAAGTTCTGGCCAGAGAAATGAGTAGAGGGTAGTAATTAAGAATATGCAATCCAGGGCTGGCAGGTTAGCTCAGCTGCTTTGAGTGCAGTGTTATAACACCAAGGTCAAGGGTTCGGATCCCATATTTGGCCAGCTGCCAAAAAATTGAAAAAAAAAAAAGAGTATTTAACTTAGAGTTTTGTTTGTCTGGGTTTGATCTGGCTCTATCACTTAGCTATGTGACCCTGGGCTAAATACTTCATCTGTCTGGCTCTCAGTTTCCTTATCTGTGAGATGGGAATAACAGTGGGATGCCTCACAGAGTTGTGAGAATTGAAGGAGGTAATGCATGTGATGCAGCGTCTGGCACATACTATGTGCTCAATAAATGTTCAAGATTAGGTTCCTGCTTGTAGCTTCCACTGTGTAACTGCAGCTGAGCTCCAGAAATTTGTAGCAGCTTCCACTAAATGAAGTAAAACCTCCTCTACTTAGTTCCAGAGCTAGGCACAACCTAGGTTAGAAAAAGGTCAATTATTCTCCACTCACTGTCTGTCTGCTGGGAAAGGGCTCCAGTTCAATGCCATGGGGACTGGAAGCATCTCCTCTTGATGTTGTCAGGGGTACCATGGAAGGAAAGGGAAGAAATTGGCGTAGCATGTGCTCAGGGGTCCTAATGGCCCAGTCTCTACTGCTCAGGCTAGCTCAGCCCCTCAAATAGCTTCTTTCTCACCCACCGCAGAGACTCAAGGAGCTCTAAAAAAGGTACCTAAAGGAAGCTTCAGCAGCTTGGAAAATCACTGCAGGATCAGCTTCCTCCTCATCTTTGAACCCTTTAGCTCTGGTCCACTGTCCTTAATTGCTGCTCTATAGCCCCAAACCTAGACTCTGGACACTTTGGAATTACACCCTGGTTGCCCTGCCCAACTAATTTCAGCTTTTCACTGGGATGTCACTTCTGCAGGCTGAGAGTCAGTCATTTTCCAGGAGCCCAGTCTGGATCCAGCATCTTGGAAGCCAGTTCAGACCTCTGGATAGCAGGATCAGCAGGCCTTGGCATGAATGGTTCCACCTGCGTTGGTTAAGAATGAAGACTCAAGCCAGACTCGCCAAATCTTAGCATTGACACTTACTAACTATATGACTTGGGTCAGGTACTTTACCTCTCTGTGCCTCAGTTTTCCTCAACTGTAAAATGGAGAGATTAGTGGTCTCATCTCACTGGGTGGTTAAGAGGATTGAATGAGTTTATACATGTATAAAATATAATAATATAAATGTATGTACACAAATAATTACCCATTTAAATACATGTAAAACATAATATAAATTAACAGCTATATTTTTAGTATATTTTATCCACATTTTGCATTAAGACATTATTTAATATAAAGCATTTATATGTACATGTAAATATAATTATTTATATTATTATTATTGTTATTGTTTTTATCATCTATATTATCTCCTTGAAAAGATAGGGAGACCATGGTTGGCTTTTCAACTTTTTTGCTTTCATCTGTTAAGTTGAACTAAGTTTGGTCTAAAGCCACCTTCATGCATATTTTAAATTTGGCCTAAAGGTTTCTCTGTACATAGTGAACTGTAACCGAACTTAACATGTAAATAGACTGTAACCTGACATGGGAGTATACTCTTGCAACAAGTAACTGAATCTCAGCCAATCATAGCAGCTGAACCTCACCTTCATGCATATTTTAAATTTGGCCTAAAGGTTTCTCTGTACATAGTGAACTGTAACCGAACTTAACATGTAAATAGACTGTAACCTAACATGGGAGTATACTCTTGCAACAAGTAACTGAATCTCAGCCAATCATAGCAGCTGAACCTCCAGCCAATCAGAGGCCAAAAGTTGCCAAAACATGACCACATAAGGCAAATGCCAACCACAGCCTATCAGGCTGTTTCCGTATGTCACTTCCTTTTTTCTGGCTATAAATACAGCCTAAACCTGTAGTGAGGTGGAGCTTTCTGAACCGATTTCGGTCTAGATTCTAGAATCATAATTAAAGCTAATTAAGAACTACAAAATTAGATTTGTTGTAATTTTGTCTTTAAACACATTTGGGTCTATAGGTGCGGAATCCCTGGTTAATACGGACTCTGCTGAAATATACTGAGCAAGGTTCAAGTTGGTTTAAAACTGATTCCATCGTTTGGAAGATTACAATCTACAGTGAATGCTATGGAAATATTATTTCTCAGATTCCTATAATGCTCCTCTTTCAGATCTCTTCATTTCAATTTCTGTAACAATTTTATTGTTTTCTTGTCCTATTTGAAAGGCTTTATCATCTCTGGAGCAAATAGCTTAAGATAGAAATGTGCCAAAATATATGTATTATTCATCATGTGGGTGTTTTCAGATGCTATTATTCCCAGTAACTCTTGATTCAGAGAAGTAGGGTGGTTGTGAAAAGAATAGCCAGTGTCTCTTTGACTTGTTTTGTTGAAACCAGAATAAGGTAGTTTTCCTCTTTCTTCAAAATCATCAACAATCCATAGATTAAGTGCTTACCCCCCATAAGCAAGAGTGCTTCCCATATAGCCATCGACATCAATGAAGAGGCTTCTACACTTACTCCTTCTACTTGGTGGTAGGTGTGACATGACACAAACTACCGCAAAACCCACTTCCTTTCCAGCAAATAAAAAACAACTGAGAACATGAATTTGCTGTCAGCTTTGAAGCCTGAAGGAGAGGAGTGTGTTGGTTTCTGGCAAACATGAAGTCAGAACTTTGGTATTTCTTTCTCTTCTGCTTCCAAATTGAAGTTCTAACAGGTAAGTGTAGGCTATTGAATATTTTTTATTAAGTTATAATTCAAGAGGACATTAAGAAAAATTAGAGGCAGAAAAACTAGGCACCAAATAGAACACACTTTTGTTTTTTGAAAGTAGGAACAACTTCAGAACAGTCCAAGCATGTGGCTAAGGGCACTGTGTCTCCCATGTCACTGTGGATGGCATTGAGTTTGCACTGCTGCCTTTGATACTGTTTTAAGATGAAAAAAATGTTTCATCAGACCATTAAAATTTTAAACTACCTGCTTGGAGTTACCTGTCAGTATATAAAATAGAAGAGTGGCTTACTGTTCATAGAGAAAGATGAAAGGCGAAATGATTTGTGTCAACAGAATCAAAATTAAATAGCCTGGCATTTGGGCTGGGAAGTCTTTCTGTGGTAGAAAATAAAATGGAAGGGCTTTGAAGAGAAGGATTTTGATTTTAATCTTATTTGGGTGTTCTATTGGCTGACATGCCCAGGCTTTCATGGAGTTTTTATTGACACTAGAGTCCCCCTAAGAGGCCAAGGAGGAATGGATGATGTAAAAATACTCTCTATTTGGGTGGTCTATTGGCTGACATGCCCAGGCTTTCATGGAGGTTTTATTGACACTAGAGTCCCCCTAAGAGGCCAAGGAGGAATGGATGATGTAAAAATACTCTCCAGCCCCTATAGACGTATAAAAAGATCATTCTTGAGTCCTTGATTCTTTCTCTTGGATTGAATGTATCTATAGGAACAATTTAAATAATGCTACCTACAATGTAAATTAGTATATGTGTTTCTGCTGCTTTTTATACTATTTCTGTATTGCTTTTATTTTCTCCTCAACTCTGAGTCCTATTCTTGAGGCTGGGAAAAATAAAGTGAAATTATGTTAAATAGGGAAAGTTCTGTTAGCACTAAAATTGAAGGCAAAACTTTCAGTAGGTATAATCCCATCTAGAAAAACATTTTTCAGTGGTACAAAGAAATAGACTTTACTTTTCTCTCCAAAATCTTAAAAATCCAAAATCAGATTGATCAAATGTTTTATGCTGGCTCAAGATGACTCAAATGCTCTTAAGTAAAGTGGAATGAAGAATGAGAAATTAGGATCTACTTTGTAACAAATACCAACGGTAGTTCTGGGCTATTTGCTTATTTAATTATTCCCTTTCTACAACCTAGTGAATAGCTTTGAAATTGATATTCATTCTTTCTTATTCATTCATGCGGCGCTGAACACTTGGCATGTAGGAGGTAGTGTGCTAACTGCTGCAGGTCCACTGATGAGCAAAAGTCGGTCAATCTCTGTTCTCCTAAGGCTAACTGAATGGTAGGGAGAGAGACATTAATCAGATAATCCCATAAGTTCATGATAATTACAGGCAAAACTCAGTTCTATGAGAGAATGTAACAAGGAGCCTGACTAGACTGGGTGAGTGCGGTGGTGGAATTGGGGAGCAGGGTTCATCGAAGTATTTTCTGTGGAAGTGCACTTGAGATCTGAAGGACAAATGGGAATCAATAGGGAAAATGGTATGAAGGTGGGGAAGAGCATTCCAGACCATGGAAAGAGCAAGTGCAAAGGTCCC